CCTGCCACTGTTGGTGGTCCTTACTGAGCGTCACAGACTGCCCCACTCTGCCCTGTGGTCGGGGATGAACCTCAAGGCCCCCACGACATTGTCCACATCCTGGACCCTGTGAAGGTCCCGAGTGTATTGAATCGTGAGCTGTGGCGCACAGGCTGAGTGGAGGCTGCTTGGCTTGTGACTGGGTACCCAGCGTGGCCCAGCCGGACTGGGTCCCTCACAGTACTTGGCACATAGTGAGCGCCCAATAAAAGGTCGCTGCTTTTATGATTATTGTTACTGTTATTAATTAACTCAGTCTAGTGGGAAAGGAGACAGATAGATGAACAGTGATGAGGACGGAGAAGTGGGCAGAAGGGGTGATGGGGCCCAGAGGAGGCCCAGCCCACCTGAAGCGGCAGAGTGGAAGTGGGGCCCCTGGCAGCAGGAGCGGCCCCTGCAAAGGCCTAGAGGAGGGAGTGAGCAGTTAATTCCAAGACTCCACCCGTCTGAGTGGAGCCATGTGCCTACTGTGTACTGGGAGCTGTTCTGGGCTGGGGCACCACAGAAAACAAAAGCTTTTAGAGAAGAGGGAGCCGACTGTAAATGCACGATTTAAATAGGAAAAGGCCAGAGGGGGGCAGAGGGAGGAGGTGACCCTCTTATGGGTCAGAGGAAGTGTTCAGTTGTGCTTAGTCCTGAATAACAGGAGGGAGACGCTTAAATGGCTACACTCACATCTGGACTCCCAGCGCTGCCCTTCTGGAGTGGGCCACCAGGCACATGGCCAGGTGGCCAGTAGGACAAAGGGGACAGCGTGGCCGAGGGCAGCCTCAGGATGGAGTCAGAGGGGTAAGAACAGGAGTTGGAGGGGAAGATATGCCAAGGAAAGTGGGTAGCAGGGGTGTAGGGAAGTAGTCAGGGTCAACAGAGCTAAGGGCCAAGTAGAGCCGAAGGTCATGGGGCCAGGATGTAGTTTGGGGCTTAGGGCAGGATCATGGGTGAGGGCCTGATGTTCAGGGACGGTCAGAGGTCAGGAGAAGGTGCAGGTCATGGTGAAGATTGGGGGCTGGTGTCTCAGAGCCAGTGGGGCAGAGGGTGGGATTATAGATGGAGGACACAGCAGGATCAGGACAAGAGTCTCAGGGACAAGGCATGATCAGAGGTCATGGTGATATCAGGGATCACGGGATCACAGGAGAGTCGGGGGCATGCCGGGGGTCAGGGCAGAGCCCGCGTGACCCCCAAAGTAGTCCCCTGTCGCTCATCGCCAGGTTCTCGCCCATCGCCATCGACGGCATGAGCGGCCTGGCGGGCGTGGGCCTGTCGGGGGGTGCAACGGGTGCTGGCTGGTGCATCTTCGTGTACAACCTGTCGCCGGAGGCAGACGAGAGTGTGCTGTGGCAGCTGTTCGGGCCATTTGGGGCAGTCACCAACGTCAAGGTCATCCGCGACTTCACCACCAACAAGTGTAAGGGCTTCGGCTTTGTCACCATGACCAACTACGACGAAGCGGCCATGGCCATCGCCAGCCTCAACGGCTACCGCCTGGGCGAGCGTGTGCTGCAGGTGTCCTTCAAGACCAGCAAACAGCACAAGGCCTGAGCCACTGCCGCCCTCCCCACCCTCCCCGGGCAGCAGAGAGAGAGAGAGAGAAAGAGAGAGAGAGAGAGAGAAGGGGCCCGAGAGAGACAGCACAGGCAGACCATGAACGGCACGAGGCCCTGCACCCCTGCGGAAGCCACAGGGTGAGCACTCGGGCTGGGAGGGTCTGCAGGCAATGGGGGGTGCCTGGGGGTCCCCCACCCCATCCTCCTGCCCCTACCCCAGGCTGGGCTGTTCACTCTCTCGTCTTGGTTTTGTTCATGGCGATGGTTTTTGTTTCTTTTTTCGGCTAAAAAGAAAGCAGAGATGTGCCCCTATCCAACCCTCAACCACCCTCTGTGGGATGGCTTTGGGGGGGTGCTGGTGGTTTCCTCCAGGCCTCCCCAGTGCTGAGGTGAGCCTAAGTGGGGGAGGAAACAGGTTTAAAAATCCCCAACAAAGCAAAATGTGAGAGGGGTGTGGGCATCCCTGGCCCAGAGCCCCTCGGTGGAGTGTGAGGAACAGGGTGAGGGGCTGGAAACAGAAACAAAATGAAAAAAAGGGGGGGTGGGAGGGGAAGAAAAACTCTATTTTTGTAAAAAGGGAAAAAGACCTCGTGGAGAATTTTTACTGGGGATTCTTGAACTTGAAAAAAAAAAACAAAAAAAGACAAAAAAAAGAAATATTTTGACAGGCTATGTTTACCAACTGGGGCAAAGACAGGGAGCAGGGCTTGGGGGCTGGCGGGCCACGGGGCCACTGAGAGACACTCCCCAAAGGAGCACACAGCAGTGCTGATAGACCCAGAAACACGACCTGGACACATTTAGGGATCAGCCAAACTCAGACATGTAGCAGACAAACACATGGATAAAATGTAGAATGCTGGTGTGGGGCCATGTAAACATGGCGACTGAACATGGACGTGGACGAAGGCAGCCCAGGCAGCCGTGGGCCCTGGCACATTAGATATGCAGATATTTCCAGGCACACACATGAATACATGAAAGTGGAGACAGACACTTGGAGACACAAATCTAGACACTTGTTGGCAGAGAAACAGACACAATACACAGATGCCCGTAGCATCCCTCAGGCCCAGGCAAGAGGTCCCAGTCCGGTTCCTCCAGCCAGGCCAGCCCGGCCCCCGCCCAGTCCTCAGCCCCACTCGACCCTGCCCTGGGTTCTCTGCAGAGCTCTCTTCTGGCTCATCCGTGGTCCATGCCACCCATGAACACAGGCGTGAACACAGCATCCATGCATCCAGACACACGATACCTCGTTCACTTTTGGCATCATGCTGGGCTGGAAGCAGCAACCCCCAACACTTGAGGCCAAAGGACCCCCTGTCCCTAGGGCTGAGCCTACCCTGGGCCCAGGCCCTGGCCCATGAGGCTGAGGGGGAGGCCGGGCCCTGAGCCTCCCCCAACCCAGGGCCTCCTCATCAGGCCCAGGGTGGATGGGCCCAGGGGCTCAGCCCCGTATTTCCTTCCCATCCACTCGTCACCCTCTTTCAGTTTGTTGGGTTTTTCCGTCTTTCCAGATGAGTGTGGGCAGTGGACGCAGCCCCCATTCCGAGCCCCAGCCCTGGCTTCTGTCTCGATTTTCCAGCCCCCTAGTTTTCATTCTTTGTTAACGAGAAACTCCAACAGAAGCCAAAGGTCAGAGCCCTTGCAGCCCCCCACCCCCACAGTGGGCCCAGTTAAGAACTGAAAATTACAAACCCCGATTTTAAATTCAGTTGACCTTCCTCCGGTGTCCCTGCTTTGGTGTCTGGCCATGGCCCCATCTGACTGCCCAGCTCTCTCTCCCCCACCCCTCCCCGGTGTTTGTTATTAAACGTCTGTGGAGCTTCTGCTGCAAGGAACAAAAGGAAAAAAAAAATCAAAAAAGCAACAAAAAAACAAACAGAAGAGGAGAAAAACGACAAAAAAAAAAAGGAAGATAAAAAAACAGAAGAGATTAAAAAAAAACAGGAAAAAAAACAGACATAAACTGGCACCAGTTAACTTTCTTGTACTTTTTTGCTGAATTTAGCTTCTTGTAGTTTTAACTTATTGCTATGTTAACTATTTATTCTTGTTGCCCTGTAAGGACATTTGTGTATATTTCTGTTCCTTCATCCAGTTTGCAAGTTTAAAGGGACCACGGTGTTCTCTTTGTTTCTTTAAGTTTTGCTGAGACGTGGTTATGCCTAATTTATTTATAAAAGGGGAAGTGGAATCATTAAAGTAATAATTATTAATAACAGTAACGGTAGCCGAGTGGCACCAGGGGGGCATGTGTGCTCTTCGGAGCAGTCCTCCACGTGGCCAGCGACGCCCGGTCTCAATGGGATTATTTTTGCTCGTCTTGAGAATTTTTTCAGTCCTATTTAGCTGGTGAAAACCCTAGCTTGTTCTTGATACACGAACCTATTTATTCTTGTGGTTTTTAAGTCCTCCTGATCTCCCCACTCCCCTCCAGCAGGGCAGGACCCCCAGTGGGTCCCTCCCTCTCCCTCTGTTTCTTGGGGCTTTCTCCCCTCTGCCCTCCTTGCACGCGGGGACACATGGGCAGCGTGCTGGGGGCATCTGTGAGCAATAAGGGCTGGGTTTGTCCCCCACCCTGGGGGCGGCTGGGTTCTGGAGAGGGCACCTCCCCAAACCCCTCCACTGAGGCCTAGGCCCCTGCTACCCCCAAGACAGGGAGGGCACTTTTTCTAAGAAAAACACAGAACTCAGCCCAGCCAGCCAGGCCCCCTACCAGGAGGCCAGCCCAGGGGAGGGGACCTGGGGTCTTCCGTGTCCCTAGGGGGCAGGGGCAGGGCCCAGGGGGAGGAGGCTCAGCCTCTCAAGCCCTCCCTTCATCATTCTGTTACTTATTCGGAAGGTTTCACATCATGACAGAGTCCATATGTTGGAGATGATAAAGAACTGCAAAAAAAGAAAGAAAAAGGAAAAAAAAAAGGACAAAAAAACCCCAGAACCCAACAAGAACATTTTGCGTTGCATTTAGACTATTTATTACCGGATTACAGGCCTGGCCGCGGTAACAGACTTTTACATGGAATTGTTTAATTATTTGTACTTTTCATGCCAGAAAATAAAAGTTCAGAATCTTATGGCCAGTTGGGTGTCTGCACCGGCGGGCAGGGAGTGCTGGAGCGTGTGCTGTGTGCCTTACTCAGGCCACTGTCCTTCTCTGGGCCCAGGTCTCATCTCAAGCTCTTTGGCCTACCCACAACACAGCTGGGACTCAGGGACGGGTGGGAGACTGTTTCTTTGTGCCCAACTTTGCGGGCTGTGGGTATCTCAGGTGTTCATCTCACATGTGATGAGGCCTCACCTGGGGAGCCAGCCCGATGGCAGAGGAGGCAAGCACAGGATCTGCAGGGAGTGTTGCCCCTGCATTCTGCCCTATGCCCACCCTTGGCCCAAGCAAAGCAAGGCAGACACAGATGGGTTGGGGGGTGTCATTTATTGTTTCAAGGTCACAGTCAATTCCCCGTCCCCACCAGCAGGGGAGGCAGATGCCCTGGGCAGGGGGTCAGGTTGGGTGGGCAGTGAGCCACTAGGCTCAGGGCCCAGGGAGGGTGCACTCCTTCAGTCTATCTTTGGGGGTCACTGAGGCTTTGGAAATGGCTCTGCGCCACCTGACCCCCTGAAAACAGGGCAGGGGGCCTCTCATGGTTCCTGCCTGTGGGGAGGGCAAGGAGACTTGGAGGGCCAGGCCTTCATCCAGACTGTGGGGCAGGTAGGCAGCACCACTGGGAGCTGGTTCCACGTCTTGAGGTTCTGGGGCCAGTGAAAGACCCAACAAGAAAGAAAGACAGATAAAGGGACACAGATGAGGAGAGGCGGTGCCAACCTAGATCTGTCTTACTCAGACACTAGAGCACCCCAGCCCAGGCAGCAGAGACCCACTTCCTCGCCCACCTCTGCTGGGTAGGGGTAGGGCTCGGGCTCGTGGGGCTAGAGCTCATCATGCTCGCTGTCTGCAGGTGGTTCAGGGGGTGGCTCTGGGCAGGCGGCAGGTGTCATCAGCTCCATGAGGTACTCGCATCGACTGGGCTCCGTGGTACTGGTCACCACAGTCTCCTTCCCGCACAGCAGGCGCACCTGGGGAAGATGGGTGGGCAGGTGGGCGCTCAGGTGTGCTCAGCCAGGTGTGAGTCCCCCACCCGGCCTCCCGCCCTGTTCCCCGCCCACTCACCGTGGTGGAGCGGTTCGGGCCTTGCCAGCAGCCAGTGCCCTGTTCGTACTTCATGGCGCTGAACTTGTCATGTTCAGGGCCGGCCCAAGAGCCCCAGGTGCTGTAGGAGAAAGGGGGTGCTGAGGGTGGGCTGACTGGGGGGACTGGGGGTACCAAGGAGACAGGGGCTAGCCTATGCCCACTCACCCGAGGTTGGTGGGGGAGCCGCCGAGCTTGGGTTTCTGTGAGACAAGCTTGAAGGGACAGAGCCGGTAGACGTACCTATCATAGGATGGGGCTAGTGGGTGGGGTGCACACCAGCCCCTCGAAACTAAACAGACTGCCCCTAAGGCTGCCACCCTCACTTCCCTGAGACCTTGCTCAGGCTCAGACCCTCCAAGTTCACCAGCCTGCCCGCCCACCCTTGGGGCGGGGGTGGGGGGGCAGGGGAACGCACTCGTTGGTGGTGAGCTCGTAGCACTGGCTGTACAGGTAAGCGAACTCCCCATTGGGGCCAAAGTCAAAGGAAATCTCCTGCTCCAGGTTCCTGCAAGGGAAGGCCAAGTGGTGAGGGGCAGCCTAGCCAGCACAGACTGACTTAGGACAATGCTGGAAGTCCTTGTGATTAACAAAGTGCCACCTGGGGGCTGGGCTCCAGCTCCCTGCCACTTGGGGACCCTCCCCTCAGGCGCGACTGCTGAGCCTTGGTAGCAGCAGTTGCCTCGACAACTCCCTATCACCGCCACCTCTGGGGAGCTCAGCTGCGCAGCAGGTGGAGACTCCACCCTGCTGTGGCCATACCTGATGGACTCCTCCATGTCCTTCAAGGACCGTTCAGCCTCCTCAAACTTGTTGCGGGCCTCCTGGGCGGCTGGTGGGGCAAAGTGGGGGACAAAGTCAGAGGCACCCCTACCTAAATTCAGGAAGAAGAGGAAGGAGGGCCCGAACCTGTCTGCTTCGTGCCCCCCAGGACCGCTCTGGGTAGGAGTGCACCACAGAAGGCCCTGTGGGTGTCACCAGCCACAGACCCCACCTCACTGCCCTGAGGCGCCGCTTGCTTCCTGCCCATGAGGGCAGCACAAACAAGCAGCGGTCAGCGAGGAGTCAGATGGGCCCACAGGGCTGGTGGGGGCAGTACCGGCCTGCACAGGCCTCAGACACCCACTCCAGGATGCGCCCAGCCCCTCTGGCTTACTGGGGGAGCAGGAGGGGCTGGTTCTTGGACGCCTACAGGAGCAGGTATGAGCAGGGCTCCCTCCCTCCCAGGCCCCCCAGTGAGCACTCACCATCAATGAAGGCCTGCGTCTGCTCATCATAAGGTGGCATTTTCTCCTCCTTGGTGGGGCTGCCCGGCTGAGGGGGCGTGAGTGGGGGCGGGGCCTCCTAGGGAGAGGACAAAGTCAGCAAATGGCCCTGCCCCCAGTCCAAAACCCCCTTTCCCACCCCCGCAACACCTTGGGTTGTTCCCCCTGAACCTGGAAATCCTCCTCCTCCTCTTCCTCTTCCTCCTCTGTTTCTCCTTCTTCCTCCTCCTCCTCCACAGGCTGTGAGGGTTGGGGCACCGGGGGCTGCTCCTCCTTGGACTCCGTCAGGTCAGGCACAGAAGGCACTGGTGGGCTGGTGGGCAGCACCTGGAGCGGGGTGCAGCGTGCTCGGTGCTGTGGACTGGGAGTCCGCCTTCCACCCACATGGGCAGCCTCAGTGCCTCCACCCCTTTCTTCTAAGGGGCCTGGAGGGAGGGACAGACAGAAGGGAGGGGGCTGGGGTGGCCCAGCTGGCCAAGGTGGCCTGGTGCCAGAACTGGAGGCAGTTCCTTTGTGAGGCTTAGCAGGGGGCGGGTGGGGGGAGGAGAGGACTGCATCCCTGCTCCTCCGCCACTGACCTCGGACTGGTACTTGTCCCTGATGGCAGCCCAGACACGGTCATGGAAAGAGGCAGCATCCATCTGCATGTCTCCCCCGAGCAGCGTCTGTGTGCGTGTGTTGGGGTGGTGTCAAGACAGGGGCCTCCAGGTGTCCCTCCTGTGCCCCAGCCACCACGTGTAAGGAGGAGCCTTAGGTCACAGCACCAGGGGTGGGCGAGATGACAGCCAAGGCCCTGCCTGGGCCAGGAGAAGTGAGGCACAGCAGCCAGAAGGGGGCAGCACAGGCCGGCAGGAAAGAGGAACCCCTCCCAGTGGGATGGCGGGTGCCTCCTGGAGAGACCAGGGACAGTGGGAAGGAGGCAGGGAAGAGCAAGAGCACCAGAAATCATCAGGTCCTCAGAGGAAAAGGTAGAGGCCAAGGAGGGACGGGGAGGGGACTCAGCAGGGAACAGTGATGGACAGACTGAAGAGGAGCAGGGTCGGACTGTGCAGAGAGCCAAATGCACAAACATGAGGAGTGCAAATTGGGTATAAACACTCGTGGGAACCGGTGGGGGCGCGTGAGTGGGGAACCTGGCTCTGTCCCAACCAGACACCCTGTGGCCCCCGCACGACTCCACCAGGTTCTAAAGGACAAGGAGAAGTGACGCTGGGTGGCTGCCCTCCTGGCTCACTCGGGTGAGGCCAGGTACCCCAGTAGCCCTGGCCTGGGGCCAGTGGGGAGCTTTGCATGGGAATGGCCCAGAGCCAGCCTGTCCCAGGCCCCCTGGCCCTGAAGTCTCCCAGGGCAGTCCCCTCTAGGAATCCGAGGCCAAGGGAGAGCATGGGATACCTGGGCTTCCCCTTCTGACAGCACCCCGTCCCCATCTGTGTCCAGCTCCGGGTGGGTCTGCAGCTCAGCCACTGACACCCTGCAGGGGCGAAGGCAGAGATCGTCAGAGGAGTGAGCAGAAGGGAGGTGGGAGGTGAGCTCTAGGGTTGGGGCCCCTTCTAGCCCCCAACCCTGGGAAGAATAGGTACTGGCTACAACCCAGTCCCCTGCCTCCTGCCCCTTCCTTAAGTCTCCACAACACTGCAGGGGCTCAGAGAAGGGACAGAGACAGGGGTGGGACTAGGAGACACCTGGATTCCATGCCCAACAAGACCCTGTGCTCCTGAGCCATTGGCAGCATCTATTTCCTTCCACTCTCAGAACCCCACACTCCCAAGCTGCCCTCTGCCCTCCACCCAGAGGAGCCCATACCCACGCCGGCCCAGGCACCAACCACATCCTGTCCCCCACCCATCACCACCACCAACCAAGGAACGGCCCACCCTGCCCATTGTGCTCCCTTGATTCTTGTGAAACCCCCTGCTCCTTACTACTGAGGTGCATGTCCACCCTCCTGGCTCCCAAAAGCCCACCCTCCACTGAGCAGTTTGCCTGGGGTCAGCCAGCAAGTGTAGCAGCAGCGGCACCACTGGGATTCTGGCCTTGGAATCCCACAGGGCAGGCTAGGAAAGAGTAATGGGGTCCCTCGGCCCCTCACTCAGCTCCTTGGGAGGTGGGTTTCTCTCATCTCCTCCACAATCACCTGCCTGTTTTAGACTCATTTTACACACAAGTAGAGGCTCATTCAGAGAGAGTCAGGGACCAGCTCAGGCCCCAGGGCAAAGAGGTAGGAGGTGGGAAGACTGGTTTCCGAAGGCAGGTGGAAGAGAGGGACCCCAAGGCCGGGCAGGGAAGGCCAGCCTGGGCACACTCACACCCCGTCCGTGTTGTCATCCAGTTCCTGGAAGGCGCTGGCCGCCAGCTCCTGCTCCCGCTGGGCCTTGGAGGCAGCCTGCTGCTCTGTGGAGGGGCCATTCTGTCACCCTCCACTCTGCCCACCGGCTCCCCCGACCCTGAAACCTGCCCTCCACCAACACTGTGTGCCGGGCCCTGTGATGGGCAGTGGGGTCGAGTCAGACCACTGTTGGGGGCAGTCGAGGACAGCCCTGGATCTTTGATCTGAACAAGTTGAGGGCAGGCAGAGAGCACAAGAGGGGCGGGTGAGGGCACGTGCCTTAGGTTTGCTATGTCTGGGAGGCCCCCAAAGAAGAGGCCCAAGCACCCCACCAGGTGCTCTCTCCAACATGAAGGAGGTTGGGGAATGGAGCCTGGGGTCCCTGGGGGACGTCTAGGGGCAGTCACATTCAGGTATGGCTGGACTTGTGCATGGGAACCAAAGGCAGCTAGAGGTCAGGGTCCCAGCCCAGAAGAGGCACCAGGGTCTTGCACCCACTGAGTAGGAGTGTGGGCCACCAGGAAATCAGAATCCTGGAGCAGTGGCTTCCATGAAGGAGGCAGAGAGAAAGCTCACACTTAAACAGGAAATCGAGGCCTCAGAAACCAGGACAAAGAGGAAAGGAAGTCAGGTTCAATCAGGACAAAAACAGATAAAGAGGCAAACCAGCTTCACAGCATTTGAAGGGGAGGCTATGTGTGGGGACAGCTGTTTGGGCAGTAGGGGTCTGAGCAGATCTAAGTAGAGGGAAGGTGTCATCCACAGAAGACCACACAGGGGGAGGAGGAGATAACTGAAAGCCTGGGGTCTCCAAGGCCTTCAGTTATCTGGGGGGCAGTGGGGGGGCAGTGAGTGGGGGAGGGAAACAGCCCCCACTGAAGAGAGAAGGAAGGGGGGTTCCCTGCAGGCACCTCCACCCAAGGAGCCACTGGGATTCCGGACAGGGAGCCTCTCTGTAGTCAGCTCCTCCCTGGCTTCCCGCTCCCATTCCTCCTCTGCTCAGAATCCTCCATGGCTCCACTCTCACTTGGGGTAAAAGCTCAAGACCTCCCCATGGTCCCTAACACCCTGTATGGCCTGCCCTGCAGTTCCTACCCTTGTCTCTCCTCCACTGTCCTCTCTCCCTCCCTCCAGCCACCTCTGCCACCTTGCTGCTCCCTCTGCAGGCGGGGGCTCTCTCCACTGTGTTCAGTGCTGTATGGCTGGCACCTGGGGTATGCCTGGCACACAGCAGCCACTCAGCAAACACTTGCCGGATAAACTACTGAATTATTGATTACAAGAAATCAGGGCAGAGACAGAGAGGGAAGGAAGAATGCAATAGATGGCCAGAGAGATAGAATTGGGGCCGCACAGCTCCTGGTTAACAGCCATAAAAACAGCTGAAGCCACACATCCAAATCCTTACAGCAGTGTTTTGTCCTTTAACTAGTCTGGAGTAGAGGATTTCTGTCCCACCTCGCCCTTCTATCCTGCTGCCACAGTGTGTCCCCTACAGAGCAGACTGAGAACGAAGACCAAGGCTTCCAAGTTCCCATAACAGTGGCATGACCTGCCAATAGTGAGGAAATGCTGAGCACAGCATAGAAAATCATGTTAAAACCAACCAAGGCAGGCCTGATGGCATGGCTCAGTGGGTTGAGTGTCGTCCTGCAAAGCAAAGGTTTGCTGGTTTGATTCCCAGTCAGAGCACATGCCTGGGTTATGGCCCGTTCCCAGTCGGGGTGCATGCAAGAGACAACCAACTGATATTTCTCTCACACATCAGTGTTTCTCTCCCCATTTCTCCTTCCCTCCCCTTCTAAAAATAAGTGGGGGGAAAAAAACCTTTAAAACAAACAACAAAAAAACCCAAAAAACAAAACAAAACAAAAAAAACCCAAGGCAGTAAGAACTGCCAGGGCAAAGGGACACCTGAGAAGGTAAGAGATGCAGAGGCTGATTTTGCCTTAAAGGATTTGCCAATCCTGGCAAAGCTGGATGTCTGTTTTGATGAGAACTTGTGGGGCCAAGGAGACAAAAATCAAAGTCCAAGGCTGGGCGCATAAGAGCAGACCCCCTCCCCACAAGTAACTACACTGTGACCCCACGGGGCTACCTCCTCAGGGGGAGAGAGGCTGGACCCGAAACTGCCCGGCCTGCACTCCAATCTCAGTTCCAGCCTGAATTTGGATTTGGGGATCTCTGAATGCTAGTATTCCCACAAGGCTGGCAGAAGGAAAAGCCCTTCCTTTCTAGAGAAGTACCTCTCATCCCAGGCTGCAAATTATTCCTGTAAATGAACATCAAATACAAGGACCGACAGAGTCAAAGACAACTAGGCACGCAAGGAACCAAAGCACCCTGATCAAAAAGTCAGCAGACAGAACAGACAGATGATGAGCAAGTCTCCTGGGCCCAGACTCCTCCCGGCCATGAGCCAAGGGCAAGTCATGGCCACCTTGTGACATACCTTCCCACAGCTTCTGGTGCCGGTCTTTGGCCTCCTTCTCTGGCTTCTCGGCCTCCTCCTTCACTATCCGCAGCACCTCCACCTGGTCCTCCAGGGACTTCTTTCCAGCCTGTAGCTCAGTGAGCTTTTGCTGGGTGGGCAGAAGACAAGCAGCCAACTCTCCTTCTGTTCTACCTTCTTCCTCATGGACTGCCGCCTCCCTGCCTCTACTCCACAGGGCACCCGCAGGATCTTTCCAAAACTCACACCTCCCTGGGTCCCCTCCACACCCATCCTTGCTGTGGGTCCCTGCAGCCCACTGAAGAGAAACCCAAACACCTTAATGTGGTCCCAGGGCCCCTTGTGACCCTGCTGCCTCTCCGGCCCCACCTGCCCCATTGCTATTTTAAACTGTAGGACCCAGCTGCCCTAACAACTATTGGACCCCCTAACGCTCTCTGCCTCCAGTTCTTCACATGTGCTTTCCTTTTGTCTGGAATACTCTGCCTGGCCATCTCTGAATTACTCTACAGACTTCAGCTTCAAGGCCTCCTCCTCCAGGAAGTCTTCCCACTTCCTGCCCCCAAGACCAGTTGGAGAAGACAGGGAACCAAGCAAGATTCTCCTCTATGCCAAGCCACCCTGGGCATCGTTTTCTGTCTATCCCTCCTACCAGGCAATGTACCCTTGAGGCAGTTCCTGGTGTGCTTCCTGCCTCATGCCCAGGACATGGCACATCCTAGTCCTCTGTGGATATTTCAAGAAGGAGTGACTGTGCTGGGCAGGCTCCAGCCTAGGAATGGGGTCCTAAGCTGTACGGTCTTAGCCCAAGTGCCCACAGGATCACTTTCCTCCCAAGAACTTGCATGACACCTCAGCCTGGCCTGCTGCTAGGATTCTCCCAACTCCCTAGGAGGGCAAAGGTCACTTGGAGACACCCCCACCACATAGCTCCCCCACTACCCCCTGAACTCAGGAAGGAGCTCACTGCCCCGTGAATTTGGGAGGGACCTCACTAGCCAGGCCACGGAGATGGGAAAGAAAGACCTGGAACCTTCCCTGGGCTGAGAAAGAGCGCTGGAACCCTTGCTCAGTGGGTCGAGCAGAAGCCCAGGAGCAACGTCAAGGACTATGACCTATCAAATAACCAAGGGCAAGATACGCAGGGGAGAGAGACACACGCTGCAGGGTTCACCCTCCTGCAGCTCCCAAAGCACCCACCCTATTGAACTAACTCAGCTGCTGCTGACTGACACGATCCGGAGTCCTCCCCTGGTCACACAGTCATCAGCCCCATTTACAGATGACCGAACCACAGACCTGGACACAGGGCGGCACCCTGTTGTAGGGGGCGCTGCAGAGTCCCTGCAAGCCCACTTCAGCCTGCCACCCAACGCTATGGTCAACGCTGTGCTGACCACTTGGTAACAGCCTACTCAATGACTAAACACCAAGTAGACAAATGAGTAAACCAAGGCACAGGCAGTAACTGGCCCAGGACACCACTTGTAAGGAGATGTTAACCCCACTTGGCCTTGCCCGCCCATGCCTTCGGACCACAGGGGCCAGAATGTCTTGTATCAGCCCCACGGGGCTACTCACCTGCTTCTCCTCCCGGGCCTTCTTCCAGTCCTCAATAAGGATCTTCTTCAGGCGGAACCCCTCACGGGTAACCTCTGCCATCTGCTGCAATGTCTCTCTCTCCTTGCGGCCCTTCTCTCTGGGGTGAGGGGACACACAGGCACCACCAGGAGGCATTTAAGATCCATCATATCTGCCTCTTCCAAAAGGATTCAACCCTACCTGCTGCCCCCACATTGGGAAAAATAAGAGCAAACCCTTCTCCTCTACCACCCCAGGCTCTCTTGGCCTCAGAGCCCCTGTCCTTGGGAAGAGAGACAGTGGACAGTTCGCCCACCCTCAGGGTCAGGAGTGGGACTAGGGAGTGCTAAGATACGAAGCTGGAAGTTAGCTCCTAGGAGAACAAGGAGAGGAAAGCACAGAAGTCACAGACTCCTGGACAGTCTGGCTGGTAAGTGTGTTGTCCATGGTCAATCCTCTACTTAAATGAAAGGTCTTCAGCCCTGCCTAGGGTGGCTCAGTGGACTGAGTGCTGGCCTGAGAACCAAAGGGTCACTTGTTCGATTCCTAGTCAGGGCACATGCCAGGTTGTGGGTCAGGTCCCCAGTTGGGGGCACATAAGACACAACCACACATTGATGTTTCTCTCCCTTCCCCTTTGTCTAAAAATAAATAAAATCTTCTAAAAAGAATAAATGAAAGATCTCCAATCAGGACAGTTTACACAAGTGTCAGGACTTTTGATTTTGTTGAAAAACGCACCAGGCCCTGTCACCTGTTGTCAACTGAACAGGAATCAAGGGCAGCTGTCCCTTTAGATCCCACAATGCCCTTCATTCTCTAATGCCTTATACTCAGCCTGCTTCTGCTGTTTAGATTACCTGCCTGTGGGCATTTCAGTTTTCAGATCCTGCACCGCAGTGCAGCAATTAAAAGCATGGAGTCTCAAGTCAGACTGAGTCCCAGCTCTGCTATCTCCTGGCTATGTGACCCCCAGGAAGTCATGCTTTCTAAACTGAAGCTTCCTTAACTGTTGAACACACAAATGATTGCACCTGCTTCCCGGCCAGAGGGAAAACTGGTGGTGGAGCCTTCACAAGGCACCTGGCACAGAGTGAGCGCTACATACTCAAAAGCAGAAAAGAGAGGCGGCCTGATTCACCAGGCGGGGCAAAGCAAGGTCCTGAGGGGTAGGTGGAACCCACGTACTTGCAAGTGTTCTCACAGACGATCCCACTATTGTACTCATCCGTCCCGTCGCAGCAGTCTGGGGGCAGAGGCAGGGGCACCATCAGACCCAGCAGTGTCTCCTTCCTCCTTCCGCCCACCACCTCTTCCCCCAACTCCAACGGGATCTCATTTACCACACACTCCATCGTTGACCCATCTGGAGGAGATATACAAGGGCTTGTAGCCAGTATTGGTGCAGTGAAAGCTGCCGTTAGGACAGGCGGCCGTGCCTGTGGGAAGAAAAAAGAGGGTTTTCAGACTGTGCTCAGGGCCTTACCCATCACATCCCCCCAGACAGAACCCCTGACACACATGCACAGAGAGCACAAGACAAGCAGAAGAACCACTGCTGAGTAAGGGAAAGAGACAGCTGCACACTCAGAGCCTGAAGCAAAACTCGCCAGTGCTCCCTTCCTGACCCTCCTCCAGAACAGTGCCACCAACTCCTCCCTCCCTCGCCTTCACCTGCTTGCCCTTAGTCCCCGCCTTCTCTCCTGCCTCTGGATGCTTACATGTGCTGGGCTCTCCATTTGCAGCACCCTTCAAGATGCAGCTGAGATGGCACTTCCTGATCCCCAGGCGGGGTGGGGGCCTCTCTCCTCACCAAATGGAGGACCACTCACTTCTGTGCTTGCTTTCCCCACTCAATCAACAGGGAGCAGGACTGGGTCTGTCTTAGTTACCACAAAGGACCTGGTATTCACCAGGTGCTCAATACATGTATGGTGAAGAAATTAATGGAGAAAAACTCACCTGGCTCATCTGAGCCATCCTTGCAGTCACAGTAGTCATCGTTGACCTGATCGAAAGGGATGGTGGTCGAACCATCCAGGCAAGTGAAAGGCTTGGACTCATCGTAGAAATGATGGTCTGGGGAGGCGGGCAAGAAAATCATCCCAAGGCAGGAAGAGACTGTCTCAACCTAATGGCACCTCTGCTTCCACCCACTGGCTGAGCGCTGCCACCTTCCATACCCAGAGAAGGGGAAACTGAGGCCAGAGGCTATAAATGCCTAGCCGAGGAACCAAAGTAGACCCCTTCTACACCCCACTCCCCACATCCAGAGGCAGACTCACTGGTGAGAGGGACGCCCCGGGGCCGCTTGACCTCCACGGCCCAGCACACGGGGAGCAGCAGCAGCAACAGTAACATTTTGCCAGATGATCCGAGGCCGGAAACCGGTTCTGTGGAGGAAGCAGGCGACAGGAAGGTGCACTGTGCCACAACGCTGCAAGAAAGAGGCGGCTGGTCAGTGGTAGAGGGCTACTTCCAGCCAAAGGAAAGCGCCTCTTCCTCCAGCCAATTGGATTCCTCCATTGCTTCCGGGCAATGGAGGGTCATAGGGATATATATCGGAAGATATCTCTTCAACCCTGCCCAGTGTAAGGGTCTCACTTTGCTCATATCAATGGTGGGGATCTTAAAACCTCCACTCCCTATGGGGTAGGTGGTGGTGGTAAACTATCCAGTTCCCCCCAATAAGACGAACCAGTTAACAGCCTCCCCCTCTCCCGACGCACACCCTCAAATCTACAAATCTACACCAAAAGAAAATTGGGGTGCCCTCCCGCCCGCTAATTCATCACCTACACGAGGCAAGGGCAAAGGTCAATATCCACCGCGCCCCCCTAACCCAGCAGCCAACTGTTCTTCCGGCAGAAAAAAGACGGAAGTACGCGCTATTTCCGGCACACGCTGTGAACCAAAACGGCGGCTCAGGGACGCCATGTTGGGAGTGGCCAATTGGGTGCCGGAACCTAGACGGCCATCTTGGCTAGGACTCAAGCCTCAGAGGAAATATTTCTGAAGGTTCGCGCTTAATGGCGGCGCAAGGTGCCTCCATCTTGGGAGTGGCGGGTTCTACGATTGCAACAAAAAGTTCCTGAAAAATGCCCGCGAACGCCAGGTTGATTTGGGGTGGGAGGAGAAAAAGAAATAAAGGGACTAACACGTGACTCCAAAGTCGGCGGACCCTGCTCCGTCCCGGCTTGGGGGCCATCCCTCCGCGGCATCAGCCAATGAGAGCAGCGGTGCAAAACGGTTTCCATGGGAGCGCGGAAGGGAGGAGGGGAAGAGGTTACCTAGCAATTGGTAGCTGCTGCGAAGCCCAGCCAAACCGTCGGAAAGTGCATTCCCAGACTCAGAGGAACCCAAACTGACAGATCCGGGACGAGGGTGATCCCTAGTCGGCCCTTTGGTCCCAACCCAGTCATGACGTCTCCCCTGTGCTGGGCGGCCTCCGACAACGCTCGGGCTTCCCAAGACCGGCTTTCGACTTCTTCCAAGGCTAAGGGCAGTCAAGCTCAGGCCAAAGGCCGCCACATTAGAGGCAAGGGCGGGGAACAGGCTTGGCACCCCCTCCATTCCAAGAAGGGACCCATCTATGCCAGCGTGGGGAAGTCCGCTGTGCACACGCAAGTGGCTGAGTTACAAAGGAAAATACAACTATTAGGTAAGATGGCTCCGAAGGAGTCAACAGTGTCCACCCAGCCCTCTGATTAGACATGGTGCGACTAGACATAGTGTTTTACCACAATTCATCCAAGTAGTTAGTTCTGGAGTCAAAAAACTCATATTTGTTCATGGTTTTTCTTACCTTATAAAACTCTTCCTGGACCCAGAGCCAACTAGGCTGTATTTCATACTTTTGTGTAATTTCAACTCTTCTATCATGCATGATGTGAAAATCATTGGTTCTAGCCCCTGCTGAGTAGCTCAGTTGCTTGGAGCGTTGCTCTTGTACACCAAAAGGTTGTGGGTTCCATCCTCCGTCAGGACACACCTAGGTTGAGGATTCACTCCCCCGAGTGTACATATGGGAAGCAACAGATCTCGTATTGATTTTTCTCTCTCTCTCTCTGTTCCCCTTCCTCTCTCTAAAGCCAATAAAGGTATCCTTGAGAGAGGATTAAAAAAAAGTTTTGGAGACGGATTTTTCTGGGTTCAAATCCTGGATCAGCATATACTAATGGTTTGATCTTGGGGGACTAAGAGTGACCTAATTGTTTTCAGTTTCTCCATCTGTAAAGTGGGGATAACAGTATCACCCCATTGGTAGTTGAAATGTGTTGAGTGCGAAGAGGAGTGTCTGGCACATAGTGACACACTATAAACTGTAAACCAGGGGTTCTGACAGGGAGAGGACAATTTTGCTTCACAGGGGACATTTGGCAAAGCCTGGAGACATTTTTGGTTGTCACAGTATTGGTGGCAGTGGGTGGGGATGGCTGCTGGCATCTAGAGGGTGGAGTCCAGGAATGTTGCTCAACATCCAGCAATGCACAGGACAGCCCCCACAGCAAATAATTGTACATCCCAAGTGTCAGTCATGCTAAGGTTGGGAAATCTTGGTATAAACCATTACTGTTATTATTGTTTTATTATTGTTAGGGGATAATCTTGCATAGTGGTTAAAGGCCATCAGACTGATTGTGACCTTAAACAATCTAATAAGCCCAAGCCTCAGTCTTCTCTTCTATAAAATGGGTACAACATGGATATGCACCTATTGCATGTAGTATTTTATACCTGGAGAGTTCTTAGTCCAGCATCCAACATATAATAAATGCTCAAAGCAAAGTATTGTGATGATTACAAAAAGATGGTCCTTCTGGGATGACCCCAGTCTTTCCCATCCCCCGTGACACTCCGCTTGTACCTGCCCATGTCACATGACCACAGAGGGTGACCGGAAAGCCTTTTATGAGAGCACTCAGTGGAACATCAAGAAGAATCAGGAAGCCATCAACCAGCTACATGAGGAGACCAGGGTGCTGCAACTACAGTTGACGGACCTGCTCCAGGTGAGGGTATAGGAGCGGGTGAAGAGGTTCCAGGGGGCAGGGCCAGCATTCCCAGGGGCAGGACACTGCCTCATGTACAAGTAGCCTGGGTTAGTGGTAACTGCACTCCTCTCTTTTCAGGGAGATGAGAAACTGGTCCAGGCATTGATTTGGGAATGGAAGTCAGAGAAGCCATACCTGAAGAACAAGACAGGCCAGGTTTGCCCCACACCCCCTCCACTGACCGTCTCCTTTCAATTTTTTTTTTTTAAGAATTTTTTTTTTTAGAGAGGGGAAGGGAGGGAGAAGGAGAGAAACATCAATGTGTGTGGTTGCTTCTCACGTGCCCCCTACTGGGGACCTGGCCCTCAACCCAGGCCTGTGCCCTAGACTGGGAATCAAACCAGGGACCCTGTCGTTTGTAAACCAGCATTCAGTCCAGTGAGCCACACCAGCCAGGGCCATCTCCCTTAATTTTCAACCTGGATCCTTTCCCCACTGGACTCCCTACCTCCTACCCCTCCTTCTCTAGTCCTTTCTCCATACCAGCCACTACTCAAGTATTCACTCAGCTTTTATCACACACCAACCATGTGCTTGCCATGGTATTAGGTGTTGGTGACATACAGTGAAAAAAAAAAACAAACAAAACTCAAAGTTCCCACTGGAAAAGAGATTCACACTTTTAAAATTTTCATTTATTGATTTTTTTAGAGAAAAAGAATCATCGATTTGTTGTTCCACTTATTTATGCATCATTGCCTGCTTCTTGTATATACCCTGACCAGGGACGGAGCCCGCAACCCTGGCATATTGGGACAGTGCCCTAACCAATTGAACTACCTGGCCAGGGCTTGAGGGTTCGCACTTTAGATTGATGGTTGGGAGGTCAGCCGAGGCCTTTTCTTTAAGAGGTGATATTTGAGCTGAGAATGGGCCAGCCAGGAAATGATCTGGGGGAAAACAGTCCAGTCAAAGGGAGCAGCAAATGCAAAGTCTCTGGGGGTGGGAACAAGTGTAAAGTGTTGCACACATGAGGAGGCCAGTGTAGCTAGACAGGAGTGAGTGAGGGGGATCGGTAGGAGGCGAGGGCAGGGAAGTCATCAGCAGGCTGTGCTGAAGGGTGCAGACTTTGTATGCAAAGACTCAGGGAAGTGGAAAGTGGACTGTGAGAAAGCAAAAGTGGAAGCCAGGTGGAGGTCGCTGGTGAAAGGTGGCATTGTGCACTGGGATGAAAGCCAGAAATAGGAAGAAAGTGTACTCTGGGGGGACCTTTGACATAGAATGGAATTGCTAACAAATTCAATACAGGTGGGAGAGAAAATGAGGTGAGGATGACATCAAGGTTTTGGACTTGAGTGCTTGGAAGAATAGAGCTGCCGAAGGCTGAGGTTGGGAAGATTTGAGAAGCGCAGGTTTGGAGAAAGAGCAAGTGCTTGATTTGGCCACGATGATTTTGAGGTGTCTGTGCATGCATCTGGAAGGCAGTGTAGACATGGAGATATGAGTCTGCAGTTCAGGGGAAAGCTACATTTGGGTACCTCCAGTGTATAGGTAGGTGATCTTTAAACCCCAATACTGGATAGGAGATCTTGGTGGGGGTGGGTGTAGACGTAAGAGAGAAGACCCTGGGGCTATCTCTCCAAAGGCAAAGGAGAGAAAGAAGGGGCAAATAGGGAGGTGGGTGGAAAACCAGGGAATGGGCTTCCTGAAGCCACCAAAGTAGAAAAGCTGTGGGAGGAGGGTCAGACAGGTCAGATGCTGCTCAGAGACAAGGGAGATGAGAACTAAAATATGGGAGAAGGAAGCTCCTGAGGAACGACTAGGCGGTGGTTCAGGTCCCTGCTCTGGCTCCTCTCCCTCTAGCAGGCCCTGGAGCACCTGGACCACCAGCTGAGTGAGAAGGTGAAGCAGCTAAATGCTCTGAGGCACCAAGTGAGGTTGCGGCAGAAGTGGCTGGAGGAGCTCCAGCTACAGCACAGTCTGCGTGAGCTGGTGGTGACAGAGGCACAAGATGGCGACACTGAGGTGGCTAAGGTGGGGCCGGTGAGGTGTGGAGAGGTGGGAGGTGGGCAGAAACAGAGGGGATGCTTAATCCTGGGGATGGAGGAATTGAGGAGGGGGGAACTCAGCCCAGCCTTGCTTCCCTTTAGACCTTGCGGAACCTGGAGAACCGTCTGGAGAAGGCCCGGATGAAGGCAGAGGAGGCAGAACACATCACCAGTGTGTACTTGCAACTCAAGGCCTATCTACAGGTAGGGACCACAATAGCTGGGGAGGAGGAGGCGAGTGGGAGGGCCAGCCTGGCCGGGGACAGTGGTCACAGGCCTGCCCCACTCCTCATGCCCTAGGAGGAAAGACTTCACTTGGAGAACCGTCTGGACTCCATGGAGGCTGAGGTGGCAAAAACCAAACACGAGCTGGAGGAACTGCATGTGGTGAACAAGGAGGCACTCGATGCCCGGGACAGCGCCAAGGTGCCAGCCCACTGGTCCCTGGGGATCCTGCCCAGAGGTCATGGGCTCCTGGCCCCGGAATCTGAATCCCAGCTGTCCCAGAGCCCCTCCCATCTATCTCCTAGGACCCTGTGGCCTGGCCCAGTTGGGCCTGCAACCCCAGCCCTAAGCCATGGTAGATGGCAGCTGGTCCTGCTGTTCCCCTACCCGTCCTTCAGAATCAGTTGCAATATATGGAGGAGACCGTGTTCCGAGAGCGGAAGAAGCGTGAGCGCTATGTGACTGAGTGCAAGAAACAGGCAGAAGAGAGAAAACTGCAGACCGAACGCATGGAGCGCAAGGTGGGTGCCCCCAAGGATGCCAGGACCAAGGCTCTGTCCCACCCCTGCTGACCTTTGTTTGGTTGCCTTTGCCCTGGCCCCCAAGACTGGGCCCCACCCACTCCCTGACCCTTGTCCAGATACCCTTTTTTGACCTCTGTCCTAAGCCCTTGTCTGAAACCTGACCCTGGACCTGACCTCAACCTGGAGCAGACCCAGCGAGAGCATTTGCTGCTGCAGTCTGATGATACGATCCAGGACAGTCAGCGGGCCAAGGAGGAGGAGCTACAGCTGCGCTGGAACATGTACCAGATGGAGGTGCTCTTCGGCAAGGTCAAGGACGCCACTGGGGTGGCTGAAACACATGTGAGTGCTGCCCACAGCCCTCTGCACCCTGGATCAGTTCCTCCACACACAAACCTGCTCTCTTAAAGGAGATCCCTTCCTCCTTCAGCTACCACCCTGTTTCTCTGCTGCCCCTGACAACAGAACCCATGCAAACTGTCTATGCTCACCCCCACCCCCTCTCCTTCTGTTCACTCTTAAACCAATGACGCTGACTGCTTCGGCATGTGGGCTCTGTGAGAGCTGGGGGTTCTGTCCCTTTTCTTCTGTGTCTCCATCAGCTGTAACATGGTCTAGGGCCTGGCACACTGTCTAGTGCCACCCTGGGCCGAGGGGAAGCTAAACCCCTGCCCTGACCCCCTCTTTGCAATGTCTTCTTTGAAATTTTTTAAGACCCTGTGTTCCCTGCTGGCCAGGACTGATCCCCCTGAACCTCAGTCTGGCTTTTCCCCTTTGGGCACTCTCCAATCCTCTACTCTGCCCGTGGGATGACCCCTGAGAAGGTCCGGGACTTGGACCTATGATGGCATCTGAGGCACTGTGGCTGGTCGCCTTTTCAGAAATTGGCCTGGTGGGCAGATCACTTCCACAGCCAGCCAGTATTTCCTCACAGGATCGAGCAAGATTCACCCCCAGAATGTGGCTGGCACCTTGAGTTTAGAAAGCAGCTGTAGCCACTGCTAGCTGCCTTGCACACAGATTTTTGGCTGATTCAGATTCCTGATATGGAGTGGAAAGGGCCCTGCAAAACTTATTTGTCCGAGGCTACCCACCCTTGAGGGAGCCCTGAGTCCTGCTCACCTAGTCCCTTAACATCGCTATGCAGAAGTCACCAGCTTGGGCAACCTGTGCTTCATGCCCCAGGAGTAAGGAAGAGGGTGGCACCTGGGCCTGCCCAGGCCCTGGCTCTGACTGAAGTTGGTGGGCCCCAGGCGGTGGTGCGGCGGTTCCTGGCACAGGGCGACACCTTCACGCAGTTGGAGATGCTCAAGAACGAGAACAAGCAGGTGCTGCTGAGGCTGAAGCAAGAGAAGCAGCAACTGCAGCAGGAGCTTGAAGACCTCAAGTACTCAGGGGAGGCCAGGCTGGTCAGGTGAGGCCCGGTGTCCCAGTGAGAGGGTGGGGGCCCGGGTGGAGGGCACTGCACTCCCAGAACTGCCTCCCCACTCCCTGCAGTGAACAGAAGCTGCAGGCGGAGTTGCAGGGTAGCCTCAAGGCAGAGGAGCAGAGAAGGACTGAAGCCCAGAGCGAGCTGGAGCAGGCCACACGAGCAATGCAGATGCTGCAAGAGGGCCTGGAGCACCTGGTGGGCAAGCTGGAGCACATCACAGTGGGTAGCCAGGTCCCTGAGGACGACCCACTCAGAACCACCCAGGACTTAATAAGCAGTGCAGCCCCTCAGGTGAGGTTTCTGCCCTATAAGCCACTCGAACCCACCCCATGCCTTGTCGGGGACGTCAGAGGCCCACTTACAGGGGAGTCCCTACTCCTTACTCCTTAAGTGGCCCAGGACTTCAGAGACTTTGTGCTATCTCAAGTCCCACCCCCAGAGGAAAGTCCCACCTTGCCCCCCAACCCAAAACCTTAAGAGACCCTGCTGCAATCTTGGAGCAGCTGGAGACACAAGAGGCCCCGCCCTGTCCGCAGCAAAGCACTATTTCTTCAGGCCATCCCCACAATGGTTTCTCTAGAGTGACTGTACTCTCCCTCCCAGAAAAGCCTCCCCACACTCCTTGTCCTGCATCTCCAGTTCCCAGGTTCTGTCCTCATAGGTGTGGCTCTTGACTGCAGGAGGCCCTGCCCCACAGAGAATAGCACGACCTCTGTGGGGGCCTCACTTTAAAGACCTGGCCCCTGGGAGTAAGTGCCCAGTCCCCAGGTGTAACCTGCCCAAGGCCCCACCCCCTCCTGCAGGAGGCCAGTCACTCCACTAGGAAAGAGCTGGGTCCCAAGGCAGGTGACTATCTGCCCAACCTGCTGGGCCTCTTGGAGGAAAAGCTGCTGAAGCTGCAGACGCAGCTCGAGGGACTCAACGTGCAAGAGATGCTGGACCACATTGCAGATCGTGAGGTACCCATGTAGGGAGGGGACTGGGCTGAGGGGAAGGTGGGCAGACAGCAGGGAGCTGGGGACAACCCATGGCGACCTGGAAGAGGCCAATTTCAGAGGCCAAGGGGCAGGGCCCCAAAGACCAGGGGCTGTCCTGGCAGGACTGGGCACTTAGTGGTGGGGACAAGGATGTGGGACTGGGCATCAGGGTATATGCTGAGAACAAATGATGCCTCTGGGCCCGAGGGAAATTAAACAGGGGGTTTGGCCAAGGGGCTGTATGGAATCAGGGTCTGTCGGAATGGTATGGGAAGGAGAGGGAACAGGACTTCCCCATAGTCCTTGTCCTGCTCACAGTCTTCTCTCCTGCACCCCTCCTCCCCAGTTTTTCTCCAGCCTAGAGGGAAGACTGCCCACATACAACACCCGCATCACCCTGCCCCTTGCCGGTCCCAAGGACAAGTTCTTCGGTCAGTACCGGCAGGAGCAAAAGCAGATCTGGGAGCCTGGGGGCCCAAGCAGAGAAAAGCTGGATGGGAGGTGGTCTGAGACTGGGCTAAGGGCCAAGGTGGGGTAGGGTGTAAAAGGCCAGGCAGGGAAATCTGAGGCAGGGATGGGACCCTGGATCCCCTTATCGAGGTCCCCCACCGCCACACCTCCACAGACGAAGAGGAGACGGAGGAGGAAGACAACGATGTGGTAACTCGAGAGGAGCTCAAGATCCGTTCCCAGAAATTAATCGAATCTCGCAGCAAGAGGCGCAGTCGCTCTCGGAGGCTCTAGACTCTCCTCCCTCTTGCCCACCTGGTCCGGGCGCCAGCGGAGCTCCCAACCCCTCTGGGCGCAGCCACCCACACTCAGGGCCCCTTCGAGGGCCGAGCAAGGCCTGGGAACAGGTAGAGTGGGCCATCGGAGCCCAGAGTAAATATCCCCAGGCAACTGTGCCGACCTTGGAATCACGAAATAAAGGTCACCGACCAGCCTCTTGGATCTTTGCCTCTCCTTGACCATGCACCGCCCCCCCCCCCAAAAAAAAAAGACTGCTCCTCAAACCTAGACCACGGGCTCTGCCCACTCCAGCCTGGGGGTTGATGACTTCCATCAATGGGGAACACAGATTGTGCCCTCTGCACCTCTCCAGAGATACGACCCCCGCCATTCAGTAAGTGGGCCTGATCAGCCCTCCCCACTTAAGGACAGAGGCCCCTCCACCAGGGCACACAAGCCTGTCCCCACCTGATTTATATACACCAGTTGTCACGTACCTGGGGACCCAGAAAAGAGCCTTCCCCTGGGGTAGAGAGGTGGCCTTTCTTCTGTGCACAGAATGACACACCTATAGAGAGAACCAGGACTCCACCCCGAGGGCCTGGACTGGGCACTGGGGTCCAGCTGGGGGCATCCGAGAGCCATGGGTCCCCTTCCCACGCCCCACCCCCGCGCGGCCCGCCAGCCCCGCCCCGCGGGCCCCAAGTGCCCCGACACTGCCCGCGGCCAGCAGCCCTTCCGCCTCACAGCCTCGCCGCGGAGCGGGACGGGCGCGGGCCATGCTGCGGACAGCAGGGAAGGAGCTTGCCCTGGTAAGGGGACCGGAGGCCTTGGGACCCCACATACCTGGAGACCCCCAGGTTCAGAAACTCTAGGTGCCCGCCCCCGAGACCCTATCTCTCAGCAGACTGGACGCTTCAGATTCGCCCGGGATTCCCTACCTCGGGCCTCTTGTCCTCCGACTCAGTGGTTCCTCTTAGGGCTGGAGGAGAGGGGGCCAGCAACAGACTCAGTGACACTGGACCCTGGGACCTCCCCAAATGCCAGCCCATCCTCCCAGGACCGGGGAGGAGGGTGCGAGCATCGTCGAGGGGACTTCCCTAGCCCGAGTCTTACTCCGGGAAGGCCTGGCCTGAGTCCCCGTGGGAGAGGGGGGCCTAGGGTCCGGGACCCGACCCCCAGCGGCGCCCTGAACTTCCGCGCCCTGCGGGTCCAGGCGCCGCTGCAGGACTGGGGTGAGGAGACTGAGGACGGTGCGGTGTACAGTGTCTCCCTACGGCGGCAGCACAGTCAGCGCCTGAGACCGAGGGAAGGTCCTGGGGAGAGCCAGGTGAGAAGGGGATTGAAGGGCGCGGCGGGGCAGAAGACTTGCAGGTGAGGGCGGGGTGGAGTAGAGAGGCTAGGAGGTTGGGAGTCGAGGGCGGAGTGGAGGGCAGGAGCTGGGGCTCGAGGGGAAGGCGGGGCTTAGGGGTAGCCAGGTAAGATGGGCGTCCAGGTGAGTGGAGTAGGTGAGTGAGGTGCAGTCAGGTCAGGGCCCGGTTCGCGAGTGGGACCTGACGGCAGGAGCTAGGTAAGCCTGGTGAATGGGGCGGAGCTGGAGCGGGAGGGGTGGTCTTTAGAAGCTGCTGGGTGAGCGCTGGTGGGGCGGAAGGCGAGGACTCCGACAACCAGTGAAGCGTAGCTGGAGAGCTGAGAACAGCCTGGGGGCGGGGAGGGGGTTAGGGAGTGTGCGTGGTGGGGAATGAGCGGCGGCAGAGGGCGGGGACTGGGAGGACTATGGTGTCCAGGCCATTTGTGCGTAGTGCAGAATAATAAATCCAGGGGCCAGACTCAAAGAAATGGGCAGGATGAGATGCAACAGTTCTGCTAGCAATGGGTGTGATTAGAGAAGAGGTGGTGGGGGCTACTCCTCAGGTCAGTGCTGCTCCCTGCCTCACAGGTCCCCCGCCCCAATGCCAGCACCTTCCTCCATTACCGCACAAGCAAGGTGCGAGTGCTGAGAGCCGCGCATCTGGAGCGGCTGGTGTGGGAGTTGGTGTCTGTAGATCGTGAGCAGGACCCGAGCTTCGTGCCTGCCTTCCTGGCCACCCACCAGGCCTTTGTGCCCACTGCTCGCGTTCTGGGCCTTCTCCTGCCACCACCACCGCCGCCCCTGCCGCCCTGGTCAGTACCCATGGCAAAACCTCCAAGCTCCCACCCCAGACCCTCGCCTGGGCCTTCCCTCATTTCTAGAATCAGGAAATCCCTCAAATTCAGAACGCTTCTCCTAAACCCTCCCCTTCCCTGCCTCCCTTCCTCACTTGGTTGGGGGGCTCCTTCCAGGGTAGAGATGAAGAAGACAGAGGGTCAAGATCTGAGCTTCAACAAGAATTTGAGGTTGGTTTCCCATGGAGTAGCAGCAGAGGGTCCTAGAGGTCAAAGGTTGGACCTGAAGTTGGGGGTGGGGGGCTGCAGAACTCCCAGGGAGCCTCTGAGACCCTGCTGTTCTGACTAGGGCTGTGGTATCAGTGCTGGGCTCCTGGCTACGGGACCATCCTCAGGACTTCTGGGACCCCCCTGCCCACTCGGACCTGGGCAGTGTCTGTACCTTTCTGGGTTGGGCTGCCCCATTTGGAGCCGAGGCCCTGGAAGCAGAGAAGCTTTTGGGAGATTTCCTAGAGGAGGCTGAGCAAGAGCAGGAAGAAGAGGAGCAGCCCCAGGCTTCTGCAGGTGAGGCACTTAAGGAACTGATAGTGCTGAGTGGGCCTTTCCTGTTTGCTCCCTCACCCAGGGAACTCCTCCCCTCAGGGAGCTGCAGATCTTGCACAAGTTTCTTAATCCTGTTTGAGCCTCAGTTTTCTCACCTGTGGAATGGGGAGACTGACCCCTTGTCTAACATATTGGCAATTATCTAACACCTCCCTCCCCCCTCTATCCTAACTGCAAAGATACTCTGTCATTGGATGCAGATGCCCTGCGTTTTTCTTCTTTTTTTTAGAAAAGAATATGTGCCTTTTGAAAAGTTACTTTATTAAAAACATTTTTTAATCCTTACCCGAGGACATGATCACTTTAGAGAGAGGGAAATGGCATTGATGTGAAAGAGGCTGCCTCTCACAGGGACCCTGATCGGGAACCAAACCTGCAACCTAGGCATGTGCTCTGACCAGGAGTCAAACCTTAGACCAGCTGAGCCACCAGGCCAGAGCTTGTCTGATTGTTTATAGAAAAACCTGCCAACCTCTGTTGTAGAGAGTTTTGGGGGCAGAGAAAAATATCCACATACTTCGTTCAGGTCTTTGTTCAGTCGTCACCTCCTCAGACATGCTTTCTCTGATCCCTTCCCAACACATATGTTCTCCCTTTCTGTGTCCTTTTAGCCTGCCTTATATTTCTGCGTAGCACTCATTAGTTCTGTCCCCAGGGGCGGGAACAATGCATATTCATTGACTGAATAATTGTGTCCTGTTTATAAAGGATCATCTTTCACCATCTGTGTTCCATCTGATCCCTATCACAAAAGCATCTATATCCCTAATCCTCATCCTTCAATATATTGTATCCCTCCATCTTCCCTCACAGTTATTGTCTTTCTTCCTCTGCCTTCAAGATTTCACCAGCTGATTCCAAGTCATTAGAACTGTACAATCCAATGCAGTAGCCACTAGCCCCAGGTGGTATTGAAAGTAAACTTAATTCTGTTAAAAATAAGCATTCAGCCGTGGCTCAGTGGATTGAGTGCCAGCCTGTGAACCAAAGGGTCTCCTGTTCAATTCCCAGTCAGGGCACATGCCTGGGTTGCGGGCCAGGTGCCCAGTAGGGGGTATACAAGAAGCAACCACACATTGATACTTCTCTCTCTCTCTTCCTCCCTTCCCCTCTGTCTAAGAATAAATAAATAAAACCTTAAGAACAAACAAACAAACATTCAGCCCTGGCTGGTGTGGCTCACTGGTGTGATTCCTGGTCAGGGCACATGCCTGGGTTGCAGGCAGATCCATGTGTTTCTCACACGCTGATGTTTCTCTCCCTTTCTCCCTCCCTTCCTCCTCTCTAAAAGTAAGTAAATACAATCTTTAAAGAAATAAAATAAAATAAATTCAGTTCTTCGGTTGCACTAGCCACATTTCTAGAGCTCCGCAGGCGCATCAGACAGCACAGGTAGGATATACCTTCACCATTACAGAAAACTCTTGAAAGTGTTGCCCTAAGCTATGAGTTCTTGAGGTCAGAGGAGAAAATGAACATTTATTAAATACCTACTGTGTGCTAGGCTCTGGGAACCTAACATCTTTATTTTGGGGTAACTTTTGACTATAGAAAATTTCAGACATACACAAAAGTAGAATAGTATAAGAACACTCAAACATCCATCACTCACTCACCTTCAATGATGATCAGTTAGACCAAAAAAAAAAAAATGTCCAGGATGATTCAAAGGCAAATCCCAGACTTCTATCACTTCACACATCAATACTTTCTTTGGTTTACTCCTCTAATTGACAAGGACTTTAAAAAATATATAACTTTCATGCCCACAATCATTTCCAACAAAATCAGCAAGAGTTATTAATATCAAAAATACCCAGTCTGTAGTCAAATGCCCTATGGTCCCTAAATTATCTTTTTTACAGTTGTTCCTTTGAAACACAAAGATCCAATTAAGGTATTCTGTTTTTTTTCCTGGGTCCCTTTTATTCTGCAACATTCCACCTTTGCCTTTCGTTTAATGCCAGTAGGGGGAAAATGGCATTAAATGTCTCACAGTGCTCATTTGTCCTGAGCAATGTCTCACATTCTTCTTCATTTGCCCACTTGCTTTCTCATGGTCACATGTGATATGTACCTCTACCCCCATATTTACTGTAAGACCTGAAGGTTTAATTAGATATAGGTGTAATTTTTTTCCCCAATGCCACTCTTTGAAACTATTACTCTTCAGTGTCACCTGTCCTAATTTGAAATGAAAGAAAAATAATCAAGCAGATTTATACAGGTAGTTTTAAAATAATAATAAGATGTTGTAGCTGTAATACAAAGGAAAATAAAATGAAAGCAACTTACACAATAAACTATGCTCATTGCTGTGTTGGTGCTCAGGCATGCCTCACTAGGAGACATGGTGACATTTTGTCAGAGTACCATGGTGACTCTGGCTGGCACAAACACCTACTAATGCAGGGGAGGTTACCGGCGACACAGAAGCAGTGGCATAGATGTTGGTGACATCATTT